TCTCAGCTGAATTTTACTCAGAATTCTTCCTTTTAACCAAAGGTATATCTCAATTTTAGTCTTTTTGCTTCAAAGCTCAAACAACTATTATTTTATACAGCCAAATGACCAGTGTTTCCAATCTTATTTAATTTGTTACCCAGTTTTAAGATAAGCAAAACTTGATTTGTAATTTGCAGCTATTTCTTCTTCTAAAAGTTCCAGGCATTCCTTAGTCTATATATTTGCTAATTTGAAGAATTATTATTTATAGAACTTACACTAAAATATTTATCTTAACACCATGAAACTTCTAAAATTTCATCTTTCAAAAGCACAGGAGAGCCCCTTTTAAATGTTTTTGTCTCCTCTGTTCCCAGTAGACAGATGGGGACAGGTGCAGCCCCTGCCCTCCCCTCCCTGCCAATTGGTTCTGGTCTCCATCACCACAAACCCAAGATCATCAGGGGAAGTTCTAATTGTTCTTTAGCAACAGGTAGTCAATCACTCATTTTACAGGAAGTCAGGAAGGATTGTAAAATACCTTTGGAGGTCTGCCAGTGGCATTGAAGCTACTTTCAGCCTGGAGAGTGGCCACAGTCTTTAACACTGATGATGTAAATATGGGGAATTCATCAAACTAATATTAAAGAGAGGTTTGACTGTCTTAAAAAATTAAATCTGGTTGCACCAGAAATCCCAAAGTCCATATTTCAAGCAATGTAAAGTTTACAAAATGCTGTCTAGAATTTAAGAAACAGAGTTCTGGGGCTAACAAAATCCTCTGTCATGTCTAAAGATCAGTTTTTAAATGACAAAATGGTGCTATTTATTTATATTTTATTTTTTAGTTGTAGGTGGACACAATATCTTTATTTCATTTTTATGTGGTGCTAAGGATCAAACCCAGAGCCTCACGTGTGCTAGGCCAGCACTCTACCATTGAGCCACAACCCCAGACCTACATATTAAGAATTGTTCCCTATGACCAGAAAAATACAGATACAGACTCTTTACATTAAATTACATGCTATCTATCTAAGGAATTTAATTAATGATACAAAGGGTTCCAAAGAGAAAAGCTATGCAAACTCTTGGGATGTGGGGGCTCCCTGTGACTTACTGCTTCCTCTGCTTGCTTTCTGCCTGAGGTAAACACCCACATCCCTTGCAAATAACACACCACACCATGTTTTTTTTTTTTTTTTTTTTTTTTATATGAGCTTTCTTTGTGTGTGTGTCAATTACTCCCTTAATCCTTGAACTATCAAGCTCAAGGAACTAGTTACCAATTAAATCAACAAACTCCAAGGCTAATTAATTGGCATAAGAACAAATGGAGGAAGTTCTATCACTGCAAGAAAGATAGATCGTGTCATTTTGTTCTATTCCAATGTTATTTTTTTTTAAGTCCCAGTAAAGGTATTCAGAAAAATAGTCATCAAGTGCAATCAATTGAGGAGAGAGGAAGGGAGTACTAAAAGTATTAGACTAACGAAAACTGCTAGGCACAGTGGTGCACACCTGTAATCCCAGCAGTTTGGGAGGCTTAGGCAGGAGAATCACAAGTTCAAGGCCAGCCTCAGCAACTTAGCAAGGAAGGTCCAAAGCAATTTGATGATACCCTAAGCAGTAACCATCTCAAAAAATAAAAATAAAAAGGGGGCTGGGGACTTAGCTCACTGGTAAAATGCCCCTGGGTTCAATCTTCAGAAAACAAAAAGAAAAAAAAAAGCACATTAATGAAACCTTAGCCAGAATTCTGTAGTATCTTCTTTGTAATGGGAACAGTAAATAAAACTTGAGTAAATGACAGGCCACCCCTCTACAATGTCTTTTTTTATTCCCCATTTTTTAACTCTGCTGTGTTTTAAATGGATTCCAAACTAATTTCAATATTTTAAAATATGCCAATATTTATCTTAAGAATATAATGTTTAGGGATTTTTTTTTGGATTTTGGATAGAATTGTTACAGTTTTGTCATTGTCAGTTAAGTTCTGTTCAAAGAAACACATTAAATCTACTAAAAAATGCAACTCTCAGTAACTACTCCCAGCAAACTTTGCTGAAATTCATCTTAATTCATTTAACAAAGGATATTAAATGTACTTTATATGTACATCACCTTTCATAATGTAGCAAAGGTGCTCTTTGTTCTTACTCTGGTGCTATCTTGTTTGTTTTTTTTCTTTTAAAGTCCTATCCATTCCTTGACTTTTGCAGGTTAAACTGGCATATTGTAAAATTACCAAGTAATCATGTGACTCAGCCATTCCAGGTTATTCAAGCAAACAATTTTTCCACACAACATCCAAAAGTGCTGCTAGAATAGACACAAAATTTACTATATAATTCCACATCCTTTCACTTTATTCCCAAGCAGAAGACATCAAACATGAGAAACAGTGACCTGACTCATTTGATGTACTGAGGTTAGTACACCTTGTATCTAAATTGTCATATGCATGGACAATCACCATTGTCTCTGGAGATGCTACAGCATTTGAGGACAAATAAGAAAAAGAATATACTTGTGTGCGTGTGTGCATGTGTGTGTGTTATATTGTTTTCGTTTTCATCCTGACTCTTTGACTTGAATTTTCTGGATTTTTTAAAACTATGGTAGAAACAATACTCCAATGGAAAATCATTTCTCTTCGTAAAACTAACCATTCAACTTGTTTCTTTTGTTAAGCAGCCCCCTATGTTTTTTACATTCTGCCTTCTTCCCATCCGCATGGTCCAGGAAAGAGAACGTTTTCATTTCAGGGAACATTGGTTAGAATGCCACCCTTGCCTGAGCATCCACCAACATCCCGAGGTGGATTCCCTGGGCGTATAGCTAGCCGCCTGTAACTCCCATGGGATCTAAATACTGAGGGTTACACCCATCTCGATGATGAAGACGATGGTCCGGCGATCCCCCAAAAGGAGCAATGAAGATCAGGTCTCCATTGTCACGTTCCCACCCAGAGGCGAGGAGATCTCAAAAACATACACCTCGCCATCTACACCCCACCCCACCTGGAGAGGTCTGGTCATAGAGACCCACCGGCGCAAACGAGTAGGGCAAGCCCCCGGAGGCCTCAGCCAGGTGGCCACAGGGACCCAGCCCAAGCTCCTAGCCAAGGCTCGGCCCCGCCCTGCCCCGCCCCGCCCCGCCCTGCCCTGCCCTGTCCCTAGCCTCGCCTCCAGTCTAGCCCCCCGGCCCGCGACTAGTGGGTCAGCGCACGCGCGTTGGTGAGCCTGGCCACAGCTCCTAGTCGGCTCCCTGCGGACCTCCCAGGCGTCGCGCTGGGGCCAGGACACCACCGCGAGAGGGTGTGAGCTGGAGGGAGCGCGAGGATGTTCCAAGTCGGCGTAAAAGAGGCGAGAGTGGGTGCGCACCGGCGTACGGGACTGAGACCGCCCGGTGACCACCCAGTCTCCATTTTATTTCCTCAGAAATTGTCGGGCAGGCGGGGCACGGCCTCAGGGCGGGGTCTCTCCCGGCCGGGGGCTAGCGAAACCGTTAGGCTGGAACACCGGAGACGGTCCTGGCAGTTCAGGCCGCCACCCGCGCCGCAATAAAAGCCTCTCGCGGCTTCCCGCCCAGCCAGCCTAGCTCTGATTGGTCGTCATGGGAGGGACCCGAGTTGGCTGGAGGCGGCGGCCGCCGCTGCTCCGGTGCCGCCTGCGGCGGGGGACGCTGGGTGCTCCCCGGCCCGCCCCGCGCGCTTCTCCACCGGGGCTCTGCCCTCCAGGGCAGGTACAGCGGCACCTGGCAGCGGTGTTTGCGAAGCACTACCCCCGCCGCCCGGCTTTCCGCCGGCGCTTTCCAGCACACGTTCCTCACCGACTGTCCGCCCAACCCACCCAACCCTCTGCGGCCCCAGCTCCTTTTCTTCGTCCCCTCCCGTATGTCAGCGCCAAAGCGCAAATCCTTGGGTGGGGTGGGGGAGCAGCTGGACAGGAGGGTGGGTACGCACAGAAGAATTTTTCAGGGAGGCCGAGATGGAAATAGTCAAAATGAAATGCGCCTCCCTCCCGGCTGCTTAGGTTCTCTGGGCGGCGGCACAGCCCCCGCTACCCGCGGCAACGTCCCTACAGTCTTCCTCCCAGCTCCCTATTGTTCGCACTTTGCCAGGATCAGGAACCTCGCCCAAAGAAAGGAGACTGGGGCGAGGTGTTTCGGGCGGCTACCTGCCATTCTTCTCTGGCACCGTGCAAAACTGGGTTCGCGGTGCGTGTAAAGGCACACGCGCGCACACACACATCAGGCAGTCCAGATCACGCCCTCCTCGCCCTCCGCCCCTCTGCACTTCCTCCTGTCAAAACGCGGCGCTCGACCCTCCCATCCCTCCGTGCTCCCGGCCGAGGGCAGGCTTTGCAACTAACCAGCAATTTGGCAAATGAAAAACTAACGTCATATGGACGGGGGTGCAACAACGGCCACACAGCCCTGCGATTCTGCCCATTTCGCCCCATTTTACAAACCGTTATTCGGCCCAGGGAGGTGGGGCGAAGACAGCGAGTCCCACTTTATTACACCCGGGGAAATAACGATTAGGGGTGACTGTCCCGGCCTTATTGTTCACTCTTCCTGGAGCCGGGGCTGACAAGCCCCTTCCTCGCGGAATGCGAGGCTGTACGGAGGCACCACCCGAACCGCGGCATCCCCCGCCCCGCTGCCCGCCTTCAGGGAAGGAGCGCTGCCCATCGCCAGCGCGGCCGCAGCGTCCCCGGGAGCCGACCAGCCCTCTCCTATCGCCGCCCGCACACAAAGTGGGAAGGACGGGCGCGCAGGAGGGGCACGGAGCGCTCGCGGCGCGGGGAAGCAGCCCCGGTCCAGCGCAACCCGGGAGGGCGCGGGGTTCGGCTGGGCAGCAAGGGCGACGCACTCCTTTCTCAGCCCAACGAAAATGACCCGTCTTAGCGTTCCACATAAAGCCACCCAAAATAACAGTGTTCCTCGTGGGAGGCGTAGGTGGAAGGGACAATTAGCAAATCAGATTGAGAATTAACAACAAAAAAATGTACCTGCAGTTCCCAGGAAAAACAAAGTCCAGATGAGATCCTTAGTTTGCAGCATTGTAATCTGCTGGCTGGGAGTGATGTTCTTGCCGCGATAAATTCTGTGGCCCCCCCTTGCAGCGAGTGTGGACGGCGGCAGAGCAACAGACCTAGGGGCAGACAATTGCCAGGCTGAGTATGATTATTTTTGCAGAATTGTTTCCTGCCAGCGGCTGCCGAGCTGCGTTCACGCGCTGATCGGAGAATGAGTGACAGTCCCAGCCTCAGCACACTCGCAACTCGGAGATCCTTGCGCTGGCCCGGGTTCGCTTTGATGGAACTGGGGATGGGAGCGGGGAGCGGGGGGCGGGGGGCGGGGGTGAGAACCTCACTGTGTCCTTCCACCACGCCGGCCACAAATAGTGCCGAACATCAAGGAGGTAAAAGAGACAGGGGAGGCAGATGCAGCCGCCTGCAAAACGCGGCCTGGAGCTACCGAGGGAGCCGGGCTCTTTCACATGCAGTCTCCCTGGCAGAGCTGGGATTTCTTCTTTTCACACTTTCCCCTCAAGCTTTCACGGTCCCTCCTGCCACCATGTCTTTCTTAATCAAGATTTTGGATATTTTAATAACTAGTAAAAACAAGAACAAAATCTTGGATGATTTGGTTAGATTTTTCAAAGTTGTGGAATCCCTCCATTTAGATCCTAAGAGCCTTGCAACACAGGACTACTTTTTTTCCCCCAAGTGCAGAAAATTAGAAATTTGAAGAGGGATGGTGGTTACTCTTGCTGGATTTTTTTTTTTTTTGTATTGTTTGTTTGTTTTATCCTGGCTTTGAAGTTTGCTCTTCCACAGAGAGGCAACACAAGACCAGGCAGCAGCTCCCAGGGGAAGGAGGTGGAAAGCAACTTACGTAGAAGAAAATGCAGATGTTTAAAAGAAATTTCTAGAAATAATCTGAAGAAAACCTTTTTCTTGTTTACCAATACTTAAATCTGTGGTCTTATTTTTAAAACAGACAAGACTTTTATGTAGGTATTATGACCTATACCTTTTATGTAGGTATTATAGGAGCAACCTTAAATAATATTTTCCTTCATCAGGACACAACATCGATTCTTAAGGATATTAATGTAGAATATTACTGAGATACAAACACAAAGACTTCAATTAATCCTTCAGCTGTGTTTTAAAAAGAAGGGGTGAAGGTGAAAAGAAACAGGTCTCAGCACCTGAGCAAGGCTTGCATGTAAGAGGAGGATGTCCAGAAGTGGGATTGCCCTGTAGCTCTGCCCAGTGAAACCCTCTGATCCAGGAAGATGTCATGGGCCAGCATCACCAAGCACTGTCATTTTGTTTAAAGAGCAGGCTCCCTATTGCTGTTGCACATTTTAGAAACCCATCTTCTGCTGGCTGAGCCGCCACCCTTCATCTCTGGAGAGGCCCAATCTCCTCCCCCTCTCCTCCTGTCCTCTACCAAGCAGGCCACATCAACACACTGTGATCTGGAGAGACTTTTAAAAGTGCTTTCTCCCTTAAACCAATCCTTCCCATTTACTCTTGTAATATTCATCTTCCATCAATTATAAACAATTCAAAAATACAGAAAAGTAGAAAGAAGGCTCTGAAAATAATCTCAAGGCCCACAGATTTCAGAGATACCCACAAATTTTATAAGTCTTTTATCCATCCATGTAATTTTTATAATGGGTATACTAGAGTTGCAATTTGGAGTCTGTGGAGTCTGCCTGTTTTCCTTAATGTTTCATTATAAGCATTTCCATGGAGTTATTAAAAAGATTTTCTAAATATTTTTAAAACTAATATTTCTTCCTAAGGGTGATTCTTCAGTTGTTCCCCCAACACTGGCTATTTATATTGTTTCCAGATTTTGATAATATAAATAATGCTTTTTTGAACACCTTTCAATAAATATTTGTTGAACAACCACTGTGGCTTGGTGTAGTGAACCATATATGCTATTGTTTGTATCTGGATTGTCCCCCAAAGGCACGTATGCTAAAGACTTGGTCCCTAGGGTGGCCATATTGGTAGATGGTGGAAACTTTAGGTTGTGGAGCCTACTAGAAGGGAGCCATTGGGTGTTCCCTTGGAGGAGAAATTGGAACTTGGTCCCTCTTCTCTCTCCTCTACTTCCCAGAGGTGAGGAGATAAGCTGTTTCCCCTGCCATGCTCCCCACAACCACCATATACAACTTTGCCACAGGCCCAAAAGCAGCAGGGCCAAGCAACCATGCACTGAAAACTCTGAAGCTGTGCGCCAAAATAAAAATTTCCTTTTTATAAGTTGTATGTCTAACGTGTTTGACACAGCAACAGAAATTTGACTCTCTCTCTTCATATGTGTGTGTGTCCGCGAGTGTGCTAATATGCAAAATTACCCCATGAAATTTTATAAATATATGTATATGACCAAATCAGACTTTTTCCTAAAGAAGAGGTTCTAATAGTAGAGAAAGATAAAGTGAATAGGCCAGAGCTTAAAGGAATAAGAAGGTTGGAGGACCCAGAACAATTTTTTTCTAATTTTACCACCAATAGTGAGAGACACACTCTTTCCTGCAAACCTCCCTCCTTTTAGCCCTTGTCAGTAAAATTAAAAGATTCCTCGCTATTTTTCTTCCCAAATGTCCCTATTTTTAGCTTTTCAATGTAGACAAGTGTGGAAATCCTATCTCACTTCAGCATGACTGAGTTTTTTTTCCCCTCTCTCTCTCCAGCCCCTCCCTGCCCCATGTAGCTGTTGATCTCTGTTGTAATGACTCATTCTAGAATTCTGCTCCAGTTACTCCAGTCCACACTGAGTATCTCTCCCATGTTCTTTTAACAGAGTGTCTCACTTGTCTCCAGTTCCTCAGCTCTGCACTGCATTGCATTTCAATTCTTCCCTGAACCTCAGTTTAAAATGGGACAAAACTGCTGCCCTCCCCAGACCTCTCTTCCCAGAGAGAGTCCCAAGCTGTCAGGCACACACACATCAATGAGCATCTACTGTGCAAAACATCCATGGGGTGGAAACAAGAAAAAGACACCCAGACTGTGTTAGAGAGGGAGGTTTGTTAGTAAATCAGAGTATGGTCTAAGAAGACAGCCACAGCAAGGAGGCCAGGGTGGTGTGGAACGTCCTAATTGAAGGCAGTGGGGCAGTGGGAAAGGAAGCAAAGAGGAGCACAGACTTGAGAAACACTCCAAGAACAAAACAGAACTTTAGAACTTTCCATCGGAGTCTGAGGCAGAGGAAGAAATCCACGTTCCTTTTATGTACTTGACAAATATGTTTTGAGTATCAACTGAGTGTCTAATGCTACTATAAACACGAGGGACAAAAGCAAGTCTTAACCTTCTTCACCTTCTATACTTATGGAGAAGACAGAAATCATTAGACATCTAGTATATAAATGGCAGTAAATACCAATAAGGAGGGGTAGGGGTAGGGACTTCCGGGGTGAGGAAGGATTATCATTTTGTACAGGGAAGCAATATGAGGATATTTGACAAAGATCTAGAAAAAATGATGACTCCAGAGTCTCCAATGTGGGCAGTTTAACAACTGCTGGTGATAGAAACAGGGAGTAGCTGGGAGAGGAGATTCAGACTAGGCAATGGGCAAAGGAACAGTTATGTCAGATGTAGAAACACTAAGTTTGAGGTGTTTGAGGGATATCCAAGTACAGATGTATAGAAGACAAAACATCAGAGTTTAAGATATGGGCAGAAGGAATTACCAAAGAGATAGTAGAAAAGCAATCAGAAGGAAAAGGAATTGAAACATCACGACAGTGACACAAAACCTAAAGGAGAAGAAAGTCTTGAAATGGTCCAGAAAGATGAAGGTTTAAAAGAGTTTCCTGGATATAATTGTTAGCAAGTCCTTAGTGGTCTCCAAGAGCATTCATGGAGTAGTGGGAAAGGGAGACGTCACTGAGCCAGGGATGTAGACCACTCTCCCTAGCAATGGATGATAAAGGAGTATGGATAATGGCAAAGAAGGAAGGGGACTTGAAAGGGGATTTTCTTCTGTTTCAGTATAATAACTTTGTTATCAGGCTATAAAATAAATTAAATATTGTTATCAACTCCTGGTCACTCTCCATTACCTTATGCACTAACTCGGCTTTGAAAAATGAACTTGGTCTAGAGTAAAGTGCCCCTATTTAAGGCTTCTCTCCTATTGCTTTTTTTAAGGGGGACCCCAGGTATGATCCCAGAACTCACAGCTAACCTAAGAATTCTATTTCACTATTGACATGGGCGAAATGCATTGTGGGAAGCAGAGCAGCTTAAGACCAATGCAGATGACTTGGGAAGCTGGAAAGTGTTGTGTCCAAAGCACTGAGCATGAGCCAGGAAAGCATCAGGCCCGGGAGGTATAATCAAACTCCAAACCTAAAGAGTAAAAGTCTCTAGGGAGTCCTCAGAGCTTATTCCTAGCTTCTTATATTCTGGATCTGGTTGATACCAGAAATTACTTCTAAGCTTTACTACATGGTAGGGCTGAAGTGACATGCTTCCCTCCCTATTCAAAGCTGATTCAGGTCTTGACGAAGGACTCCTGGACACTCAACAGTCAATTCAGCTGAAAGATACTAGGAACTCCCAAAAGCAGGGGAATGAAACAGTTGACCCAGAACCACTGCTTCTCTGTGGCAAGTTGTGCACTGCACAACTTCAAAGGATGCCTTTCAAATCCCACTCTTCATATATTAATAGAGTTGTTATGACAATTTTTCTGGCATCAATGGAAGTAAAGCATCAAGGAAGAAAGGATTTTTTTCTTTTTCTTTTTTTTTTTTTGGTACAAGAAGTTTATTAGGGAGTGCTTTCAGGATCAACAACAGTGTTGTTGGGGAAAAAAACAGATTGGAAAGAAAGATAAAGAGAGCCACAGGAAGGCCCAACAAGGCCTCAGTCTTGGGAGAACACTGAAACTAGTTGCAATATGCTCACATTGACCAGTCACCAAATTCAAACCACCCCAGAATTATGATCTGACCTTGGAAGAGGAAGCTGTCTCCAGTCTAGGGCAACTTGAAGTCTGAGAGCTGAGTGTAGCCCCACCATCTGGAGAAAGACCCTTT